AGTCTGCCACACTGAAGGGCATTGGTACTAGAGCTGTAGTATTCATTCACACAATATGTACATAAGAAAGAAAAAAATATATATATATAACAAAAAAAATATATATAACAAAAAAAAACATATATATATATATATATATATATATATATATATATATATATATATATATATACAAAAAAAAAATATATAAAAAATATATATAAGATGTTTGCATTAGGGGTGCCCATCCCCCCTCCCAAGGACGATGGTGTATACTCCTCCCCCCCTCCTTATAAGATATTATATTTCTCTTTTCTTTTTAAAAACAGTGTAGAAGTAAAATTTTAAAAATCATACACCATATACAATTAAACTTTCAGTGGTCTGTACTATGCTTTTATCTATTTCCCTGAATTAAAAATTTTCAATCAGAGAATTTATAACCCCATCGATATGTGCACCCCTCGAAAATCCAAAACCCCATCAAAATGTGCCACCCTTAAAAATTTTGATAGCGCAGTTTGCGCCATGAAATTCCCTTGTGGGCACCCCCTGGTTTGACCTACTTTTAACTCCTTTATAATGGAAAACAATTTTGGAATTCAATTAATTCCACCTACAATAAGCCAGAGACTGGAAGAATCTTGGAAACGTGTATATATATATATATATATATATATATATATTATATATATATATATATATATATATATATATATATATATATATATATATAATGTGTATATTTTGTTAAAATTGATAAAAGTGATTTGTTTTGAAAAAGCTTTCTTGGGATCAGTATGTTTCATACCTTTCTACTAGTAAGTTGAAGTTTTTCAAAGAGTAAGTTGAACATTTATGTTGTCCATCATTAAGTTAATTAAAGAGTAAGTTCGGGAGGTCCATCATTAGTGCAAAAAAGTGTTTTTTTTAAATGGAGATCATACATGCATATCTGAATATTTTTTCAACTTTAAAATGTAAAACAGAATATGGAGACCCCAGAGATTCTAAATGCCCAACAAATAAGTTTATAACTATAATGATTAGGGCGGCATAAGCCAAAAAATACAAACATTTCCTTAGATATGTACATCACTGGTGTTTTCACCCTAACCATTATTTAAAAGTTGATAAAGATTATAATAAATTAAAAATAAACTTTAAACGTTTATTTTATTAATAAAGTTTTTTTTCTTATTTGCGTACCACACGTTCCTGAGTATCATATGGTGCATCCTGCGTGATACCCATAACATTGTTTAAGAATTCCTGCTTTAAAATATTAGGGAATATTATTAACAGTGTTACTTATCCTGCATTTTCATGCATATCATTACATCAGTGTCCAATGAGTTTTTGGCTTATTGTCAAATATTTTTAATTGCTTACTTATTTCCATATTCATATTATTTATTATCCTGCCTTTCTTAGAACGGTTTTAACATGCTTAATAATTTATTGTATGAATTTATTATGTCACTCATGCGAAAATATTTTTTATAATCCTCTGCATCCGCCTTGATAATTTTCTTAAGAAGGACATTGTGAGTGTATTCTTCACGCTTTTTAAGCCCAAGCGTTAATCCATCGCTTGCTTTTCACAATGCGTCTTGAAGCATTAGCCAAAATTATTTCAAAACACGCTTTCCGAAAATTCATTTTCATGATACTCACGTGTTAACCTGTTAACACGTGTTAACGTGTTGGAACAATACAAAATAAAATATTGAGGACTTATAATGACTGTGTAAGGTTGATAAATACTGACCAAGAATTAACATAATACTGATAGTATTACTGACCGTGTAAGGTGCAAAAATAATCATCTTTTTGAACATCTCGTTGTGTTATTGTGAAGCAAGATTAGAGTATAGTGATTCTTGGAATTATAAACAAAAAATAATTATTTATAATATGCCTAAGCTGTAGTGTAGTTGACACAGTTGACACTAAATTATGCGTTTCTTTGTGACATAAAAAGAATAATTCATTGTTTTAATGGATTCTGCAAATTTAACACCATATATCCTAACGTTGATAGTCTGATTGTGGTGATAGTAAATCAATTTCTTGTTAAATATTATTAACTATTGAATTATACAAGTTCTTTTTTTTTTAAGGTTTTGTATAAAGCTTTCCAAATTTTTATTGATTGATTTCTGTGAACTAAACTATCTTTCCATTATAAATAGTAAATTTAACTATAATCAGAAAGGAAAAACTTTATAAACATGAAGCCCACAGCCATATTTTTTGGTAAGGGCGAAAGTAACCTAAAATAGTTGTTGAAGAAGACCGAAGAGGGGTTGAATGAGGTTATATAGAACATACTTACAAATGACATGGTCACAACATACATCGCAGGTAACGTTCGTAGAAGACTGAAGAGGAGCTGGATGAGGGACCTCTTCGCCTTATGTAGATATCCAACAGGAGGTGCCGCTGTTTACTGATCCCCTCATGCCAGTATCATCAGATTCACTGACTGTTACTATTATTTTTAGACAGGTGTAAATAAAAATAGCAAGTTAAAAAAAAAAATTAATATTTGTGTTATTAAAAGTTGTACTAGCATTACTGAGATAAATTCCCACATTATTGTGGGGGACCAATCCATCAATGATTGATTAAAGTTTAAAACGAAATAAAATTGTTTTGTTTGTGTTCTATTTTAAAAATCTTAAAATGACTTGTTAATGTTGTGCATAGGTAATATGAATAATTCTATTATAAGCAACCGACACATACAACTTTTATTTTGCGGCCAATTTTTCTTACAAAAGTTTAGCCCTTCTTGGTAAACAGTTTGTTTTATGGGGGTTGAGGGAGTAGAACACCTTGTTTATCAACTCCTCCGGTTTTTATAGTCAACAATTTACTAAGGAAAAGAAAAAAAACCAATGAAGAATTATAAAGGAAAATAATTCAAAATATACCGAAAACAGGAAGAAATACTAAAAAATATATTTTGAAAATAAAAATACTGCCTATTAAATCCGAGATATCAGTTTACATGAATATTGGGTATCAATTTAAATAATGTAAAATTCAAATAAGAGTTATCGGCTAATCAATCCAAGATATCAATTATCTATTTGAAAAAAAATTAATGATTGTATTTATAGTTTTTTTCTTCGTCCCTCAACACTATGGGCATATTGTGTAGTATCCATAGCTGCTCATAGATTTTACGGTAATTGCGACATTACTCTGGAATATGTATTACGATGACACAAAACAGTTATTTCATCTCGGAGATCTTATGATATGTTAAACGAAATAGGTAACTTGTAAAAATGTCGTTTTTTATTAACGTGATAATTATAATAATATATTGAAAGTCAATAGTCAATATATCATTATCCAACTTTTAGTCCTGCATTCATTTATTTTATTTATTTATTTTTTTGCTATGTGCCCTCTGGCTAAGAAACAGGTACTCGAATAACAAGAACAATATAGAAAAAAGCTCATTAGAAAAAAAAAAACTTTCGAGTCCGCCAGTGAATTAAGAAACCTAAGAGTGTAATGCCAAGATTAAGAACACGAAGAGAACTTAACAGGTTGCACGCGATACGCATCTAGGTCTAACGTAGATGAATTAGAGACATGTTTATTTCTTTTTGTGGAGAGCTGTTGCTCAACTGCTTGCATATAAAAAAGTGAACTTTAGAGACGATAAATAATTATAATTATTAAATTATGAATTCTATAGATAAAGGTTATTAAAAAAATAGACAAAATTTTGGCAAATGCACACATTAACTCTTTTACCCTCATTTATATCAAGCAATTTATCAAGTCATCTCTTCCAAATTCCTTTAATATGTATATATATATATTTTTTTTTTGTTTTGTTTTTAATAGGTATTATTTTTAATATCCCCAACAGTTGACACTACCGATTCCCTCATTTATCCCATTTATAAGTTACTGTCACATGAGCTTTTCAGTTAACAGAATGACTAACTCCAATTTCAACATTTTTGAGTAATGTCATTTTAGTGATATTTCTAATTGAAAAATTTATAATATCGGTACAGACTACAACAGATATCATGTATTCCAGAGTAGGTGATTGCAGTGTTGAAATATAGAACAGTGAAGGAATATACAGGAATAAATTTTCCCACTAGATATATCACTAAAATTAATAATCTAAAATGTTAAAATTGGAGTTCGTATTATGTCAACTGAAAGGCTCATGTGTTAGTCTGAAACTTGACTAGAAAAAAAAATTATAATTAGAAGAAAAATTTATGATGTAATAACTATCAAAGTTTTGCAGTTATTCTTAAAAATATACAAAAAAAATTATGGTGTATATTAGGGAGAGGGAGAAAAGAAGATTGAAAGGAAGAATGCTTTCAAAGAACAAGGCACTCTGATTGGTAAAATTTATAGCTCAAGTGCGCCTAAGTTTCAGACTAAATTGCAGCAATTCATCAGAGTTTAGAGGGGAAAATACCCAATAAAATATGATATCTTGTAAGTAAATATCTTGTCACTGATCTGGGGAAACAATATCGTAACTGCTAATCATACAATATTATAATCAGAATTATTATTGTATAGGTAAAACCTCAGCACACATTACAAAATACGTTTTATTTCTAAGTTTGTTTTCTTTGAGCACAACCCTCAAACAAATTTATATAACATTATGGTCGACTATATTATAGATGTAGATATATACATAATTTATACTTTGAACATTTAAATTCCGCTTACTATAGCAGTACTCTTGCATCGAAATGATTGCCAAACGAAATGAAGACAAAATATGTGTATTATACAGCTCCTTATCCTACTTGACTATAAGTCTCTTTGTTATAAGATTTAATGTTTTTCGAGAAAAAAACATTTCAAAAACTTGGCGAGATAATGGACCACCATAATGCATTTAAACTATTATCACCTGACTCGTTAATTTAGTTGAATATACTACTCCAGGTCGTTAGCACTTCATAGTGCATATTATTTTCCGGGAATTGAGTTATCGTGCTTTATCATATGGGATGTTTGTCATACAAACACTAACACACTCTCGAAAAGGTGATTTGGTAATCTGGATTCAAAAATTCATATAGGAAAATTTTTAGAGTGGTTTTGTTTATCAATGAGTAACATCTTTAACGCCAAAATTACATAATGTTGCTATCAAGATTGAATGATGGATAATTTATTAAACATTCGTTTCTATCTTGAAGCAAAAAAAGAAAGTATTTATAAATGATTACTTAAACTTGACGTTTTATTCAATTTATAATCCGAGTAATAATTTGCTTTGGTTTTTTTTAAAGAGACGAACATCTAACCTTTATATCAAAAAATTAATTTTTATTTCCAAATAAATTACCCAAGGTAACAATATATATGGGAGGTAGGAGTGATGACCCTACCCGCGTGTATTTAAACCGGAAATCGGGATGTGGTCTAGGAGACCACATCTCGTGGACAAAGATCTTCAATGTCTGTAGCTCCAACAGAAAAAAAAAAAAAAATAAAAAAATAAAAAATATATATATATATATATACATATTAACGGATCAGTATAGCAAGTGAAATATATGTAGCGTAAAATGTGTGTGTATAATGTATAATGAGTGTGGGCCGCAAAATGTGGCTCCTTACAGATTTATATTGCTTGCGGGAGCATAGATGTGCCTGGAGTGGGGTCACCCAACCTCACGTTGCTACGAACCATGGTCTCCATAGTGCAGCGGCAGGCCACCTGTAGTTTAATAGCCAGTATCCTTCCCACCATGGGGATTATGCGCAGAATCAGCAGGCGCACGATGACATATATTACTTTATTCGAAACAAACTGCCCATGGACCAAACCTGAAGGAGGCTACTTCTGGTAAACCACATCCTGGTAATCCAGGACATCCTGGAAAACCTCATCCTGATTTCCGATTTAAGTACACGAGTTAGGGTCATCAGTCCTACACCGGATCGCTATGAGTTGCTTCCAGTAGGTTGACGAGGTCACCCGGAGTTTCGGGCAGCATGGCTTTCCCTGGTGGACGGTCACCCATCCAAGTACTAATCACGCCTTTAAAGTTGACGTTGCTTAACTTTGATAACCTATTGCATGCGGTATATACATATATATATATATATATATATATATATATATATATATATATATATATATATATATATATATATTAAATTTCTAACTCTCCCTCCGTTTAGAATTATAACACATAAAATTTGATAAAAATTCTAATTTTTTAAGCTCCTGTCTGCTGTAGAATTGTAATTTTGTTTATATCTCTTAGTACCAATGTTCATACCAATGACAGAGAATTTGTTGAAGTCTGTTATTCTAACCGTCTAATTGTAATGGTAGTAGTAATAACAGTTTATAACTCCTTACGAGTGATAATTTAATCTTAATCTTAATCTTAAGGTACAAAAAAGAGCATTTTTCTTTAATAAGTACTATTTTAAATTCATTGATGAAGAGGGAAAAAGATATGTTGACTAAATTAATAAAATATAATCGGCGTTTATAAATTTCCTACCTAAGGTCCTTTCCAAGGTATCGCCAATTGTTTATAGAGAGATTCCCTTTGAGAACAGTAGCTGGTCTCTCTTCCTTTGATCTCGATAGCCGAATCAATTTTCTACCTGGTTAATATTCGACACCAAAGGTTTTCAATTTTAATAATCAAAGATAGAATAAATTGTTAAAATAATATCCTCAACAATATCATCCTCGTGCCACGGGACGGCATGTTGACCGAAACGCATGATTTGATGAAATAAAATAAAATCGACGGTGATGGTGGCTATAACTTTAATTTATCAACTAATTAATACTTCATCTTAAACGTTATTACAATAAAAATCTGGAAAACAATATTTGTTCTTTTGAGTTTGATTCTATTTTTCTCATATTTTTTTTATTCACACCTATCTGATAAAAATAACAATTAGCAAATGTTTTGACAATGACTAGCGAATGACGTTTCAAGCTTGGGGAAGTATTGTACCCAACGACCTCTCTCTTTTGAATAAGTTCTTCTTCATTGATTCACAATAGGACCTCTCACATCCAGCTCCTTTTGAGCAGCCTTCTGATTGACATATTCACCATGATCACGTTGTTTATCAGTCCGTTGTTATGTCCGTGAAATTTATTATTGAAGCTGGAACAAAGAGTAAGTATTTGTTTAGACTTTTGATGTTCTCAGATCAGAAAAAATCTGCTATTAGCCTTACAATAAATTAGAGGGACCAGTATTGAATCTTGGGAAACTGTTGCTAAGATTGGACGAATTGAAGATATTTTAGAGCCATGGCTAACTGAGAAAATCTTTCGAAGATGCAAGATTGAAGGACTAGATAGTACGTGTAGTCTTAATTTTAAAAATAAGACCCTGATGCCAGACTCTATCAAACGCCTGAGTGATTTCCAAAAATATGTAAGTTGGGTACAGTTTTTGTTCTAAACTTGATGTAGTTGGCGCAACTCATTGTGTCTTCGACTGGAATGTGTGAAAGTTGGTATACGTGTATGTTAAATTAGTTTCTGTCTAATTTTAAGTTTTGATGATTTGGAAAAAAATAAAGTGTAGTAATTTCAATCGTTTGTTTAATGTCATTCTTTTCATTTTGACGTGTCGTTTCCTATTCATCCTCCTGTGGAATTTCAGTCTTATTATTTAAATTTATATTTCATTACTTTTTATCAATTACACCAATTTAGTTGACTCCATCTCTTTACGCTTCCACATTTTTCCATGATGTGCTATTTTTTACAATAATCTGCACTAGTTGCTACAATTGTTTATATATATAAGTATCTTAGATATTTTCATATTTTCTTCATACAAAACATTAATGGCTAATGTATTTCTCTGAAAAACATCGACTTTTGTTTACCATTCTAAATCACATCCAATTTTCTGAAAAATATTTTTATTATTAGAACTGTTTATGAGTTTTATTGCTTTCATTTGATGTCATTATTGATAGATATTTAATTGTTTTTTCCCTGTATAATGTGTAAATAATGAAATTAACTCTTGCGAAGTTATTCATCAAATGCGATAATGAATAGCTAATTTATCACGACACCTATCCCACGCCACCTATTATACTAATTATCACGGATAGTTGACACTATTAGGGAATGAGAACAGGGGGATATTGTAGTGGGGGGCGAAATCCCCCACTTGCTGGCGAGCAGCCCCACTGACTGGTCCTCTCTCTGTTCCAGACACTTCCTACGAGAAGGCCTGTCGCCGCGGAAGTGCTCCAGCGACTCCAGTCTTAGGAGCGGCCAACAGGAGTCTCGAACTTACGCCTTCCAGGATAGTGGTGAGTACCATATTATTTATAATATATATTTATAAAAGTAATAAATTTGTTTTTGTCCTTGGCCTAGTGAGGTCGTATAAACCATCTTCAGTTATGAAGTTGATATATTTATAAAACTATATATTTTTCCAGAACATATTGTTAATACATCACATGTATGGTTTTATACATATGAAAATAATATGCAAGAAGTATACTACCTGTAATTAAATGTTTTGTTACATAATTGTATTTATATTTTAACATATTAATTTTTTCTAACAAAAAATCTCATAATATTTGATAGTAACCATTCCTACCGATACGATGTTCAGATTATCATAACTTAAAATATTTTTCATTAATTGCATATTATTTTTCAAGTATAAGTAGAAACCTATCACGTTTTTTTAAAAATTCATATTTTGTTTTCAGAAATTTATATCTCTTGATAAATAGATTTATATTTAGATCGATCCATATTTTCGTTGCAAACCGTAATCGATTTTACTCGATACATCGATACAATTAATGTGTTCTTTATTTTCAAATGTAGTAATTGGGAACCTATTTTCAAATATTAAAAGATGTCGATTTAATTATATAAGTAATTTAATTTTCGTTTCAAATGAGGGATTTCTATTTTTTTATTTATACATTGTTTCATTGCTAAACCTAAATATAGTCTCGATGAAGCTAAAGTTCCAAGTATGTTTTTATTAGTATATACTTTATTTATCACTATAATAACATACAAATCTACTTCAAAATGGCACAAACCAATTTATGTATCATATATATAGTTATAAAAACTATATATACATAATGTTTTGATACCTCAAAGGAGAAATTCATCATAGAACTATGTGATTTAATTGTTTGAAATTGTACTGAAAGGCTGTTTGCAATAAATCGATATATTTAATTATATCCTTTACAAATTATTAATAAGGAATTACGTTATCTGTTGTTTAGAAAAATAAAAATAATCCTCTTAGGCAACTTTATTTTAAAAAACAGAAGAAATAAAATAGATAATATAAAATAGAACCATTTTAACTCAATCAAAAGCAATTTAATATTTCCTTGATTTATCGATAAGAGTTTTAATTTTTATTTATCTACAAGCTGAAAAAAAAAATATATTGGTAACCAATTTTATGACATATCATGTATTTTATCTTGAAATGTTATCTATTTGGTCTCTTTGATAAAAAAACACGTTCATGTTGGAGATAAATATTATGCTACATTATTATTTAATTTCCATTCATTTTTTTTAATCAGTTTCATGACGAATCTTGAAACCGTTATCAACATAGATAAAAAAAAATCAGTTCTTTAATTACCTTTATTTCCACAGGATAATTTTAAGTCGTTTTATAAATATCGTCAGTTTATTGCAAATTAATTAATTGATAAAACATAACCTTAAATCAATAAGAAATTGGATGAATTTTTCCTTGCTGAAATAAGAATATTGTGTACTTGTCGTAAATATATTTTATATATGAAAGGATTTGTGTGGTTTTGGTGCATTTATTTTTTTGTATAAATAACGTCGAAATTCGTATAATAAAAAGTTCAGCTCGATAAAAAATTAGTGACTTTCTGCAATAAACAGACGATAAATAGGTCCTTTATTATCGTTGAGTTATGTTGATTTTTATTTTTTTTTTATTTTTTTTTTTTTGGTAATGATTTGGAACCTAAATTTATTAATAGATGTATCCTATTTTTTTTTCTGACAAGTTTGAGCTACCGGCGATGGTCGCTGTCATTGGGTCATTCCCCTATTAGGTCGTGACTTGATGTTATTTTAGGAAATTTTGGATTTTTTTTTTTTTTTTTCGAAATGGAGAAATATTTTGGAAATGGTGTTTTCGTGGCAGAGTTAGTAAACAGAATGTGGGGAGACGTTAGGAGGCGAGGCCCAGTATTCAGGCTGTGTTCCTCTTAAGTGTACCGTTAGTTACGCCGAGAAGCCAGCTCTCTCTTGGCAGATATACATGAGGATCATATATAATAATATATATTTCATACCGATACATATATATTTATATATTTTATTATCCGTCGTACTGGTCATTCGTAAATTACCTGCCTCATCTCATTGACCTCTTTTTACCTCAGGTAAAGAAAGATTCAGCATTGAAAGCTGAGCAAGCAGTTGCTCAGCGGAAATTCTAAACCGTGGTGAAAAAAAAAGTTACAAAACCATATATAAACAATGACTTTAATAGAACCCAAGATAGCTTTTTTTTCTTTCTTTCATTTTTAACGTACATTTTATGATTGGTCGTTTCGTCGGTTTATTGCGAAAGTTCATTGAGTAACTTTTTTTTTTTCACATCTCTTTATTGGGTCATGTTACATTTAGTCACAATTAAGAACATTAGTTTTAAATTAAAAACAGAAAAATAATAATACTAAAATTGAATGTATGAAAAGAAATTAAACTAATCAAAGTAACAAATTAAATGTAGTTATACTTTTATAACATATTTTAAAATTCATTCACTCACTCGAGAGAACTCCTAGCCGAGCCTTTCCCACCCACTCGTGGAAAGAAAAACTTGGCTCTAGGAGATCCCAGCGTCTCTCGTTCAGCTGCATTACTGGTATTAAGGTCCAGTGGAGGCCGAGCAGAGGCGCTATAACCACAGACGTACTTGGCATGGGTGGAGAATCTGTCTATACCTTATGCTTATTTACAAAAGATCTCTGGGTCACTATATACCTTCAAGGAGGATTGTAGGAATGACTGGAGCTAGGTAGGAATTATGCAAGGGGATTTGCATGATAGAATAGAATAGAAAATAAACTTTATTCTTGGACAAGATCCCTCAAGAATAACAATAATGAACAAAAACCATATCTGGCCAAAAACTACATTAATAAAAATCAAAGAATATTTCAAATGTCTTCAGTGAAAATATATAGACAACAGAAAGTAAAAACATTAAAAAAAAAAAAAAACTACAACGAAAAAATATTAATAAAATGAGAAGAAAAACAGGAAGCAGAGAAAATAAAAAACAAAATGTAATAAATTGTACAGTAATTTATATATAAATTTATTTCATGATGGTACAGGGTCATTTTGGAAGGTGAGAAGGAATTGGTAGAGATGGTATTTGAATGAGGAGATGGAAGAGGCATGTGAATAACAGATGGCAAGGAATTCCAGAAGGCAGTAAAGGAATGTTCAAATGTTTTGGTTCTATGGGCAGCGGTACAAAGGTCAGAAACACGGTACCTTGTTTTCTGGGAGTGGACTGCGGTTTGAACTGTATCAGACTGCTGATGCAGGAAGGGTGCCGGGAGTTGATCGTTTGGAATAGGTAAGATCCAAGGAAATATTGTCGGCGGAAGGAAGGGAAGATCCACTCGTCGATATATAAGGATGATATATAAGGTTCTGATGAAATTTGGAGAATTTTTTTGGTCTAGGACAATCGGGATATTAAGCTCATGCTGTTTGTTGGTTAACATAGAACGAATCATCAACTATTGTTCGGGCTTTGAACTGAAAGGATTGGATACGTTTTATGTTGGAAAATTTTGCTATCCCACACAGTTCCAGTCCTTTGGTTCAAATAGGTTTTAAGATTGTCTTGTAAATCAATAATTTATTGTAAATTGAAAGCTGAGATTTTCTACTTCGTAATCTATGTAGCTCTGGCCATATTTTCGATGGCTAACATTTAAAAAAACGTCTGCCAAGCAAGGTCAGTATAGCTTTCTCACCATTTTCATTGGCTAAAATATATCTATAATACAAGGCATACAATTTTTCGTATGAGAATAAAATCCCTGGGAGAAGACGATTCGGAAATACAGTTACCCTTCAACAATGAAAATTATTACATACGACCTTTGGCTCTAATATTGGTGATATATACTTAATAGGTTTGTTTTCACTCGTAAAATGGATGGAACCAGAAAATCCATAGGAAAAATTCAACTTGTTGTTTGTTCTGTGTTAACGAGACCAATAATTTTCTTCAGTCCGAACAAAACTAATTAAGCTTGAATATAAAAATATGGGTGAAGTTCACACAACTTCGATATTTAAGGAGGATATCGAGACCAAGATGAACTGGTTGAACTTCAATGGAAATAAACACAATCACAAATAAGACGGTTTTTTTGTTTACAAATTCAGAGTAATAATTACTTTAAATTTACTGAAAATTACACGAAATCTAAGTAACGGTGTAATCGACTATACAATACAGTATCAATTAATTTAAAACTTTAAAACCCCATAACAATATTGTACACATATTTATTTCATAAATATTGTCATATGACAGCAAATAATTTATAACTTTTTTGCATACGGAATTTAGCTGTGTTTGTCCGGTCAGTAGTCTTCTTTAAATATTTTTAACAATGATAAACTCCACTTTCGTTTAAAGTAATTTTTATCTAGTTTATTAGGGAGCAATGTTTAGTTACTTAAATCAAATACTTTTTATGTTATCGCTTCCTGTTTTATGTTATCGCTTAAAAACGTGACTCGCTTTAAAAAACACAAATCTTCAATTTACTACTTCTCTGCTGGAAATCGGGCAATTGCTTTAATAAACTTTCTTGTAGATCTTGATGTCTCCTATCAAGCTTTTACATATTTCTCTCTACTTACGGGACACCCTGTATATTAAAATTAACGTCATATATATTAATTTTCACTGACTAATATGTTCCATGTATAACATATGTGTGTATACTTTTAAAGAAATTTGAATGCACTTTTAAAGAAAAAACTCCTTCCTTTTTAATAATCTTAGTCTTTAATAAAATATGAACTAACAATTAGCGTTGTGGCTGTAATTTATTCTAAATATTCGGTTGCAAAAATAAGAAGAATGTTAATATAAAGAAAATACGAGAGAATATTTATTATTTCAGAAATATATGCGTTATTTCTGGATAATTATTAATAAATGAGTACATTAAAACAGAACTAATTGTAATGTCTGTTTATTGTTGTTTTGTTTTTTAAACTCAAATTATTAACAATCTATCAATCTTGGGGGGAGCTTCAGCCCGAAAGCATTTTTTTTTCATAAAAATAACGATAATTACTTTTGGAAAAAAATAAGAAAACTAACTATCTATATGAAATGGTGTTTAAGTGATTCCATAAGTCCTTTTAAATGTAATTACACGAACAATAATACTTTAAGATATAATTTTTTAATATATTTTTCCATAAGACATGGTTATGTTTTACCATTTGGAAGGGGGGGGGAGGGCTTCAGCCCGATGATCCGCCCGTGCAATCTATCATATTAAGAAAACACTAGTCTCAACATTTATTTTTATTTTTTTAATTCAAAATTTGATTTTTCTTATAATCGATATGCTTCAAAATAAAGTTACTAACCAAAAATCGAAACATAATAAATAAGTACTGACATCTTAAATAAACAAAAAAAAATAGTCAAATATTTAGATCAAGTTGTATCTGATTTTAGCGATAATTTAGTATTTAAATTTTTAAAAATAACAATTGTTTGGAGTTTCCTGGGACAAGACTAAAGCCATTAGCTCGAGTTAAAGCCTTAGGTTTGTCAAAAACTCTTTTCTGTTTATATATATATATATATATATATATGTTTTTTTGTTTTTTTTGCGGAATATTTTTTAGTAATTTCCTGCCATGCGCGAACAATGACAATATTTTATTTTATATTTCTTATTGAAACTACGTGTAATATTAAAAAAAATATTCGAAATTCTTGTATTTGGGAGGTTGAGCACTTATCGTTGGGAACGAAGATTCAAAGCCTGTTTTGTAAAACGTCGTTCTGACCCCAATTCTCTGGCTCTTCCAGCGAAAATATGATAATCTCTTACTTTCTCTTGAAGTTTTTTTTACCATCTTCTGTCAGTTTGGTTTCTTTATTTCTATCCGTGCCGGACATCCTGTTTTATCGATGTGTGGTATATCAGTAATATTGCAATCGTAAATTTATCTGTTTACGTTTGTCCTAACATCATACGACGTTTGCTCTAACATAAACATTTAAATATATCCTCAAACTTTCTTATGTATCCAGGTTTATGGATTTTGTTCGATTAGAAAGCGATCGTAAATTTCCACCTAACAAAATTAAATATTTTTATTCTTTTAAAATTACGTAATAAAAAATCGTTTGCAGATCATTAGATATTTTAAAAAAGTATGCATTCATCAATTAACAGAAAACATCTTAAAACTCATAAGTTGTTTATTTTTTCATTTTTATTTGCTTATTTATATACTCTATTGTTTGGGAAACATTTTAAATTAATTTTAATTTTTTTTAAATACAAAATTGAATTTTAGTATACATGAAATTATTATATATTTGTTCTTTCTATCTTTTATTACTTTTTTTGAAATAAACATTTTATTTATATACAAACAATATTCCTTTTCCCCTAAAATATTTTCATTTTAGACAAATTTATTTATTACAAATTACACACACACACACACACACACACACACACACACACACACACACACACACACACACACACATATATATATATATATATATATATATATATATATATATATTTACAAGATGTACTAATTGTTTTTTAAGATTTTTTTTCTCTAATATATTGTCGTGCTAAGTTCGAAGAGTGTAATACGATTTATATCGAGTTGTGTAATGCCTATAATTCAACCTTCTATTAAGCAATCAAATATGCTAAACGTTCATTACAAGCTTAAACTGTGATGTCATAGTATCTCATAGTCTTGTTTTAATATCCATATATATTCACATGCATAATAATAATAATACGTATACATAATAATTTTCTTACAACTAAAAAATATTTGGCTTTTATAAAAGAATTATAATTAGACAATTATGACTGAGATAAATTTTTGTTTTGTAAGTTATTCTGATTAACCATATTTTATTTAATCTAAATATATTTTATATTACCTTTTTGTTGATGCAGTTGTCGTTCCATGGAGATCTTTTTTAAAAAATTTTCGGTGGGGTATCCTTTAACATCTTTATCCTTAAAAACTGCGCTGCTATAAATCCATTATGTTCCATTGTTCGTCTTCGAATCAACTTTATAAGTTGTCATTCTTCAATCTTCGGAGCTCTGTAAATGTGGCAATACAAAGATATTTCCTATTATTTGTTTTATACTTGAATATGCCATATTTA